GTTTTCATTAATTCTGTGTTCACAGCCTCACATTCTAGTACCCTTTGCAAAAGTGATTGACTTTATCTTACCTCTATAAATCTATAAATTTTTGTGTTGCATCAATGGATGTGCTATAAGCATGGATTTGTTGTTCTCTGATTGGTTGAAATGATTAACCCTAGTAGTCAAAGGGAAGTCAGTAGATAAGGATTGAGGGTAACATTCTATCCAGGTACTAGATAAGATATCCCTAGCTTGTAGAAAAAATCAATGAGACGTAAAGGAGATACATAATAGCTGCATTGTAATAAAATAAAACACTTTAGTTCAGTACATGCATTTCACTCTCATCTCATGTATAGTATCTACTTCTATCAAAGTTAAATAGTGGATTATATGGTTATAACATGATCTCATGATATGATGACATATGATATGATATGATGTGGTATGATATGATGTGGTATGATATATGATATAGTGTATTTTGAGACTTATTTGTATGTTAATTCAATATGATAATGCATGTAGTGATATGGTACAAAATGGCCTAGCACTGTTATGTTACAGCAGGTACTCCTGAGGGAGACAATTGGACCTTATGCTGATTCATTTCATAATTCATGTAGTAATGAAAGTATTATGAACATTCAACAAGAAACTATTGAATACATCCAGACTAAACAAATAGCAATGATCTGATAAGTAATAAGCTCACTGATAAGGTCATGAAGGCCATGCTAAAGTGCATTTGGGGCCATTTAATATCAGTCCTTTTAAATATCTCTCCAGTGAATACAAAACCCTTTTAAATCTCTCCCTTCATGGTCTAATATTTAGTCAAAAGCAAACAATAGGACCAATATTAGAAACTTACCCCATGTAAGTATCTTCCCAGATTGACTCATCGTCTTAGGCTTGGCATTATACACAGATATGGCTTGGTATATGTATATATAGGCCTTGGCATCATAATAAACCATGACATCTCATTTCTTCTCAGCCCTGAGATGTGAAACAGAAAGATGCTATGAGTATCAGAATGAGGGCATGGGATATGCATCGATATGGCTTGGCACAAGCATAGATAGGGCTTGGCATTATGCAGCACAGATATTAGACAGCCATCTTATATGGTTATAACACAGCCCCCATTGAAATAATACCCATGTAAATACATGGAGGACCCTCTCTTTTCTTGCACTTGAGCACCATACTGTCTTGAATCTATTGCTGCAGCTTCACCTTGATCTTTCTGGAAGGTTATATTAGTTTCACAGAGGATGGGTGTTATAATTGTGCATGCATTATTTATGTTGCTGCATTAGGCATCTATGTTCAGTCATGATTTCAACTTATTTATACACATTCTCTGAAGGCTGACTATATTAAGGCACATATGTCAGAATCAAAAGATTATATACCCTTACATTACAAGGAGTAATTACTAGCCTCTGGTAAGACACCAAATCAAACTAATTTGAAATGTATACATAACTCACCATGATTGTCTCTGTTTTGCGACATTACCCTCTCCTCTAAGTTTTATTGATATACGTAGGTCTTGACTTGACCATAGGTAAGAGTAGATCTAGTAAATCAGTGAATGGGAGACTTGGTATTAAACGAACCTACCCTGAATTGCAAAATCAAATTGTTGGAAAGGCTAAAAGTAATAGAGAGCAGGTTGAGAATTTAAAACGTATATCTACCCAGTTGAAAACATATTAAATCCAGTTGAAAACCATAAACAATTAAGATAATTTGGGTTTACATTTCTAAGTCAGAAGAGGCTATTTGTTGAAAATATTCATCTTCAACTGTAACAATGTAACTTTGGCTATATTGTTGCATTTTGTATTATTACTCTCCAGGATATTCTCTACAGGTCTAACTGAACTCTATTGATGCACAGAGAAGAAGTGAGTTGACTTAATTGAGTTAACTGAACTCTATTGATGCACAGAGAGGAAATGAGTTGACTTAATTGAGTTAACTGAACTCTATTGATGCACAGAGAGGAAATGAGTTGACTTAATTGAGTTAACTGAACTCTATTGATGCCCAGAGAGGAAGTGAGTTGACTTAATTGAGTTAAATGAACTCTGTTGATGCACAAAGAGGAAGTGAGTTGACTTAATTGAGTTAAATAAACTCTATTGATGCACAAAGAGGAAGTGAGTTGACTTAATTGAGTTAAATAAACTCTATTGATGCACAGAGAGGAAGTGAGTTGACTTAATTAAGTTAACTGAATTCTATTGATGCACAGAGAGGAAGTGAGTTGACTTAATTGAGTTAACTGAACTCTATTGATGCCCAGAGAGGAAGTGAGTTGACTTAATTGAGTTAAATTAACTCTACTGATGCACAAAGAGGAAGTGAGTTGACTTAATTGAGTTAACTGAACTCTATTGATGCCCAGAGAGGAAGTGAGTTGACTTAATTGAGTTAACTGAATTCTATTGATGCACAGAGAGGAAGTAAGTTGACTTAATTGAGTTAACTGAACTCTATTGATGCACAGAGAGGAAATGAGTTGACTTAATTGAGTTAACTGAACTCTATTGATGCACAGAGAGGAAGTGAGTTGACTTAATTGAGTTAAATGAACTCTATTGATGCACAGAGAGGAAATGAGTTGACTTAATTGAGTTAACTGAACTCTATTGATGCCCAGAGAGGAAGTGAGTTGACTTAATTGAGTTAAATGAACTCTATTGATGCACAGAGAGGAAGTGAGTTGACTTAATTGAGTTAACTGAACTCTATTGATGCCCAGAGAGGAAGTGAGTTGACTTAATTGAGTTAAATGAACTCTATTGATGCACAGAGAGGAAGTGAGTTGACTTAATTGAGTTAAATGAACTCTATTGATGCACAGAGAGGAAGTGAGTTGACTTAATTGAGTTAACTGAACTCTATTGATGCATAGAGAGGAAGTGAGTTGACTTAATTGAGTTAAATGAACTCTATTGATGTACAGAGAGGAAGTGAGTTGACTTAATTGAGTTAAATGAACTCTATTGATGCACAGAGAAGAAGTGAGTTGACTTAATTGAGTTAACTGAACTCTATTGATGCCCAGAGAGGAAGTGAGTTGACTTAATTGAGTTAAATGAACTCTATTGATGCACAGAGAGGAAGTGAGTTGACTTAATTGAGTTAAATGAACTCTATTGATGCACAGAGAGGAAATGAGTTGACTTAATTGAGTTAACTGAACTCTATTGATGCCCAGAGAGGAAGTGAGTTGACTTAATTGAGTTAAATGAACTCTATTGATGCACAGAGAGGAAGTGAGTTGACTTAATTGAGTTAACTGAACTCTATTGATGCCCAGAGAGGAAGTGAGTTGACTTAATTGAGTTAAATGAACTCTATTGATGCACAGATAGGAAGTGAGTTGACTTAATTGAGTTAAATGAACTCTATTGATGCACAGAGAGGAAGTGAGTTGACTTAATTGAGTTAACTGAACTCTATTGATGCATAGAGAGGAAGTGAGTTGACTTAATTGAGTTAAATGAACTCTATTGATGTACAGAGAGGAAGTGAGTTGACTTAATTGAGTTAAATGAACTCTATTGATGCACAGAGAAGAAGTGAGTTGACTTAATTGAGTTAACTGAACTCTATTGATGCCCAGAGAGGAAGTGAGTTGACTTAATTGAGTTAAATGAACTCTATTGATGCACAGAGAGGAAGTGAGTTGACTTAATTGAGTTAAATGAACTCTATTGATGCACAGAGAGGAAGTGAGTTGACTTAATTGAGTTAAATGAACTCTATTGATGCACAGAGAGGAAGTGAGTTGACTTAATTGAGTTAAATAAACTCTATTGATGCACAGAGAGGAAGTGAGTTGACTTAATTGAGTTCTATTAAGAAATAACCTTAATGTCAAGTTTTAAAATGAAGAGTTAGTCGAAAGTGAAGAATCAAGAATTTCCATTTTCAAGTATATAGCAAAATAAGCCAGTTCATTCAGTTCTATAATATAAAGAGGAAAGCATTAGATAAAAGTGGCAAGAGAAATTGTGGGTGGAAATAAAGATGAAGTGTTTGTGTTTACCTGTGGCGATTTAGCAACTAGATGATTAGAGTTGTGTAATGTTTTAATTATAGAATGTTCTGGTATATATTTGCATTATTTACCATCAGGAAACCCAGTGCAGATCAATCTAGTTCTCTTGAAATGTTGGATGTAACAGGTACATGCTACCCAATGCAAGACATTTCAGATTGTCTCATCCTCTTTAAATTACAAATAAATGTAAACTCAACAAATAAGTTTGGGCAGTTATTGCTCAAACACAATTTTCCATAAAATTATTTATTTATTTCAGACACAAAAGGTTAATGCTATCGATTTTTTAGGAAAATGTTGATTTTATTTGAGTTTTATAATATAAATTTTTTTTTTTGATGATGCTCCTTTGGATCGACAAATATCAAGAGAGAAACTATGAATGAACATATGACATCTTGTATGAAGAGGTTGGATAGTATGGGATTATTTTGGAGCTTTGCTCACTAATAGACAATGGCGTATCCAGCAGTTGCTGTGGCTACTTTATTGTGACATAATATTGTTTCCCTGGACACACCATTCAGGTCCAAATCCCTTTGGTCCAAAATCAACTCGCCAGTAACCCATTTAAGATTCAGAGCCAAAAAGGTTTTGACCAAGTAGATTTCAGACAAATGGGATTCAGATCAATGGTGCGCCCCATTTCCCAAAGCAACCAACAAGCAAACAAACAAGTCCATTTGTCTCTTTTATTACAAGCAATGTTTACTGGCTGCATTGCTGTTTGGAGGTGATGGAAAAACAATTCATGGCTTGGAATAACAATTTATCTCAAGTAGCTAGGGAAGATCTATTGTGACATCATCCCTTGAAAATGATTCTCTTATACAGTTCCTGTATTGTTGAAAATCACTTGGTTATTACAGGATACATCATCTGGTATTATATTTGCTCTGTTTATGAGGCTGTTTTGTTCATTGACTATATGATGTATGTTATCATTGTCTTAAAATCATGTTTGGATGAAGTAAACCTCCACCATGAAATCATGGAGAATTCACCATCCTGAACCTATTTATATTTCTGCTGCATATTTTCATCAAGTTCATTATGGAAAGTGGTTTAAGTAAGGTCACATCCAAAACATCTGCAAGAAAGAATAAAAGTTTTAAGACAAGGTCTTTTGCATTAATATTTACAAGAACAGGCCTTATTTAAACCAATTCTAGGGTTGACATCATTTTTTAAAGTTCATTTAGTACTTTTTTGCTTGAAACCCACAAATTTGAATTATGTAATAAAGGTGAAATTGCCTTAATTCCTTTGTCAGTGTCTTCAAGAAAATGTGTATGTTGATGAGAATGGTCATCTTCATATTGCTAGTATTTTTTAATTAATTAACCTTTTTTACTGTAATTGACACATTATTACAATATTATTTTCAACATATTGGAAGTATTGAAGTTGAATAAATGTGTGTTGTTTGTGGAATAACTTATTGTAAAATTGTGTGGGATTTATTGAATAGAACATATGGTCTGCTCTGTTATTGTAAAATTGGTCTGCTCTGTTATTGTAAATTTGTGTGGGATTTATTGAATAGAACATATGGTCTGCGCTGTTTTTGTAAAATTGGTCTGCTCTGTTATTGTAAAATTGTTTGGGATTTATTGAATAGAACATATGGTCTGCTCTGTTATTGTAAAATTGGTCTGCTCTGTTATTGTAAATTTGTGTGGGATTTATTGAATAGAAGATATGGTCTGCTCTGTTATTGTAAAATTATGTTGGATTTATTGAATAGAACATATGGTCTTCTCTGTTATTGTAAAATTGTGTGGGATTTATTGAATAGAACATATGGTCTTCTCTGTTATTGTAAAATTGTATGGGATTTATTGAATAGAACATATGGTCTGCTCTGTTATTGTAAAATTGTGTGGGATTTATTGAATAGACCATATGGCCTGCTCTGTTATTGTAAAATTATGTGGGATTTATTGAATAGAACATATGGTCTGCTCTGTTATTGTAAAATTGTGTGGGATTTATTGAATAGAACATATGGTCTGCTCTGTTATTGTAAAATTGTATGGGATTTATTGAATAGAACATATGGTCTGCTCTGTTATTGTAAAATTGTGTGGGATTTATTGAATAGAACATATTGTCTGCTCTGTTATTGTAAAATTATGTGGGATTTACTGAATAGAACATATGGTCTGCTCTGACATGCACATGTTCTTGTTATCACCAGCAGCATCAACTTAATGATCGTCATTGTTGAATTATTAACCATTAGATTGAATTATGAAACCATGTAGGAGGATCATCCTTGATCTTTAATTGATAAAATGCATGCTTTTTATTATAGAGAAGATATTGTGAACTGTAGCATATAGATATGTACATAAAAATAATACTGAGCTGATTCATGAACCCAGAGCATTAAATGATTTATCTTGATATCAATTGTATCAACTTGTGGTTAGATTGATTTATTATGAACTTGATATCTATTTGGTACATATAAAAATGACATTATTGAAAATCAAATGATTTCACACAAGGAGAATCTTATAATACCTCTACTTCTTCCTTGTATAAGTTAAGAAGGTTGGGAGATATTTCAAAAAGGTGATGCAGCAAATGATTTTTAAATAATAATCATTTCAGTAGAACAACAGGCAATCATTGTCAGAGAAGACTAATGAAACATGTTACAAAAAGTTTCACATCATCTCAGAGGTTTCTCATTATTGAATAAATATATTTTATAGTTAATGATCTCCACAGAAGATAACTGTCAAAATATTATGTCCTGCCACTTTTATGCACCAGTCCAAGACTGCCAGGCTGAGTTTAGATTGGGTTATGAAAGAGGAACACTCTTAAATTGAGGAACTTAAATAAAGGAGATGGGAGGTGAGTGATGTAAGAGGAACAGTGCATCGCAGCACCAAAATACTAGAACAAAGATGAGATATAAATATTGGTAGTGTAATTGTTTCTCTAGTACAGTCTACCATAACTCACCACTGGAATCTATTGATTTACTCTTCTATACTGTCAATTTCAAGGATTTCTACTGATTGATTTTCTTGTCATTTCCTGTGTTAAAATCTATGGGACAAAATTGGATCCCTCTTGTAAATGAAATGAGGCAGAGTCAAGTTGAACCCTAGTTTTCTCTGTAGAATTCTATATGTTAAGTCACTCACATATTGTTAGAGTCTCCAACTTTTTTGTGGACAGCTGTGTTTGGCGTCCAGCGTTAGTGGTGTCTGTAGCAAATATATGTGGTGACATTTCGCATGTTAGTGTCTTGTTTGAGGATCGTAGTTGTTTTCTGAAAAACTGGGTAATTTGATAAAAATGGAATTATTTTAATTGTTATTAAAATCAAAATAAAAATAATGAGGAAATATGAAAATAATTATTTTGAGAAATGCTCTTTGCTTCAAAATAAGTCATATATTCCATATATTATATTATTGAATCTGGGTGACTGGATATACACTGTGATTCTCAAGTAATAGTCTTGGATACTGCAATGCATGGTTCTCTTGGCATTTGCTCTTAGTCACTGAAAGTAAGGAAGTCCATTTCATGTTATTTTGTGCAGGGGAGCCAGTTTTTTGTCTTTGTATACTTAGGAAAGACTATTTATCACGGCAACTTAATCTTGATAGACCTATTTTATGACACTTGATTGATTTTATTGCAACTGATTTTCTTCTTCGTTGGGGATGCTGAGGACTAAAACTTTCCAAATGCTGATATGAAATAAAGGTAGACTGGAACAAATGTTGCAATGTTAGCTCCGACTAAATGTTTACTAAAGTTCATGATTTTTATTACATTTTCCATGGAAAATAACAGACTTTTCGTGATAGACATAGTTAATAGATTAAAAAGGAGTGGATTTACACTGACTGATCTGAACATGCACTGAACAATGTCTTTAAAACAAGATGACCCGTGTTCCAATTTTTCTCTAATGCAGAATAACTTTTTTATCTTTTCACTATTGAGAAACATGTTTTTGCCTACTTTATGCAGTAATATACCTGTCTCAGTTATATAACATATCATTGACTGTGCTTTGTTTCCATTTGGTTTCCGAGTATAATCATACTTTTTAGCAAAAGATCAGTTTCTTTTCATTTTCTATTTCCCCAAATATTGATATGGGGGGTCTCTAGAAAATCCATGATGTTGGCATCTTATATCACCTTGATTCATCAAAGTATCATATTAGTGAATCTAGGGGTAAAACAGTAGGCTGAATGTAAGTCATCTAGTTACCTTGTAATTTCACCAAGTAGAATTAGGTAAATGTTGCCATATGCCTAGATAAAGCTTTATGACTCAGAAATTCATTTGATTGAAGATAATTTGTGTTTTCCAATTCAATAAGCATGAAGTAATATATAGATCTGCAAAACTCTTTGATAAATACTAATTGCTGAGAATGAAATAAAGGTACTATATCACCCTTATGTATCTAATAGTTATGCAAATTGAAATATGAGTAAAAGAAAATGCTATCTCCCCAACACAAAAATGGGAAATCTTCCTGAGCTAGAAGTCACATTTTCAAAAAAAAATTCAAAAGATTCAAAGTTGATGAACAATTTTCGAAACCATATTTAATGACATAAATCAAGATTATATCTACTCGCATCTAGTCTATTGCAATTACTGAATTTTGATAGTCTTACAAGATTTAATTATTGCAAGATCATAAAATACAATTAGATTTACAAATCATGATATTTTTGAAACAGAAGTATATTTCCAAAAAAGAAATACAGACATCTGCTATATATAAGTGAGACCAAGTAATGGTTCTATGATAACTGCCTATGGTATCCAATGGCATAAGTGTGGCTATAGACTAGTATAGTGTTTTGTATACATTACTTTATGCAGCTTATGCAGAATTATTGATTCAGAGGATCCTGGATAACCCAATAGCTCATCTAAATATATACAAGATCTTTCCAAGAATTTTGTAAAATCTTTTTCGGAATTCAAACTGATCTTAAGATACATAGTTTTGCAAAGAAAATGTAAGGTGGAGTAATTGTATTTTAAAATTGTAATTATGTTTATGTTGTGTTTGATTTGAGGATTTCAGCTCTAAATTTTACTTTTACTGTGATTTCAGGGGTCCGCAGACTCCTACAACAGTCAACCATCATCTGACTTATCGTTGGACGAGGAGCGTGAAGCCTTAAGACGGGAAACTGAAAGACAGGCAGTTGTACAGTTAGAAAAGGCTAGGGTAAGGATCTAATTTTTTTTAGAAAATTGCAATTTATTAGTTGTTAAAGGTATTACCCAAGCTATTTTTTTACTTTATCTTTCACTCTTTATATTACCTCAACAACTTAAATTAGATAAATTAGAGCCAATCATTAATCAGCAAATCAGATCCAAGCATTGCTGAGCCAATCAGAGTATATCATTGTTGAGCCAATCTGAGCCTGTTATTGGTCAGCCAATCAGAGCCTGGTATTTCTCAGCCAATCAGAGCCTAGTATTCCTCAGCCATTTAGAGTCTGGTATTGCTAAACCATTCAGAGCCAAGCATTGCTGAGCCAATCAGAGTATAGCATTGTTGAGCCAATCTGAGCCTGTTATTGCTCAGTCAATCAGAGCCTGGTATTCCTGAGCCATTTAGTGGTATTGCTAAATGATTCAGAGCCAAGCATTGCTGAGCCAATCAGAGTATAGCATTGCTGAGCCATTTAGAGCCTGGTATTACTCAGCCAATCAGAGCCCAGAACTGCTCAGCCAATCGGAGCCAGTTATTACTCAGCCATTTGTTTAACATATAAGTGAACATATTAGTGTTGTTATGCAGTGTTCTTTGATTTGTTGTATGTCAAACTATAAACTGATTGATTCCAGTCAAAGGTTAGTGTATGAACTCATGAGTACATGGTGGGTAATGCCATGCAATGTCTCAACACATCAATATACCAATATTCTCTTATTCAGTTGTTGCAAATCTATATCCACATGTTATGGTAGACTTTATCCTCCAGGGTGGTGAAAATATTTCAATTTCTCAACCACTGTGTTCTTAATTATCTAATATAATGTAATATCTGAAAAATGATTTACGATAATTCAGTCTCGCCTCAAGTCTCAACTACCTTTGCAAAAACTTGGTTTGCATCTCCTGGGTTTGATGTAATTATCTATCCGATCCCCATTTTCTGTTTGCCCTGCCTTGTGTCTGAGAGAAAGAATGAGATCATTGAGATATATCAGGGGTTTGGTGTGTTTTTGTGTCTTATAAAGTTTGTTAAAAAGTGCAGAAATCCAAGATATGTTTGACAAAAAAAATATTAAAAATCTCAAAACATTATTAATGAAAAGAATATATTTAACAAATATTAAACGTTCAAACATATTTTTAATATACTGTAGTTATGACAAGCAATGATCCAGTGGTTCTGAATAACAACTTTTCTATGACTTTTCTATTGCAGTTCAAATCAGTAGCATTTGCAGTAAGGACAAATGTCTCATACGATGGGTCAGCGGATGATGACTCTCCAGTACACGGCTGTGCCGTCACATTTGGTGTCAAAGATTTTTTACATATTAAAGAGGTAAGTATGTCTACATCATGCTGTGGCTATAAAGGATTTGAAGTTATGCAAAATTACAGAATGGACCAGTTATAAATTTTTCTGTCTTTATGTATTGAAGCCTGGTCAGATTGCCTTTTTTCAAAATCACCTTGCAATCACCAGTATACCAGTAAATTACTTTAACTATTGGAGTATAAAGAAAAACATGTTGTACATCATCTTCTTAAGGAGAAGTCTCTCAGTAAAGTTGATAAAGGTTGGATGTGTTTTGAGCTTCAAAATTTTATTTTTATTTTATTTCAGAAATACAGCAATGACTGGTGGATAGGGCGGTTGGTAAAGGAGGGTTGCGATGTGGGCTTTATACCAAGTCCAGCTAAATTAGAAAATCTTAAAATGCAACAATCCTCTGGCAGGACCCAAAAAATATATACTAGGTGAGTTATAATTATTATAATGATGTGAAAATGTTAACGGTTGCACAAAAGTTAATTTCATTATACTTTAACCCATTTTCCCCCTCCCCCCGTATGATGAAATATGAAAATGTCCATTTGTACTCATTTGAAAATCAACATGTTTCACTAATGAAATCATCATTTACCCTCTCTCTTTTATGAAATTAACTTTATTCTTCTGCAACTGTTGACACACTCTTATACTCTATATATTGGATGAATGAAACATGATTCAATGAAAAACATAATACACTCAATATCATGTCACATTGATCCAACAATTGTTGAAAAAACAATCCTATAAAATCAATTAAGTGCTGTAATATTTATCAAGGACTGAATATATCTACTGTGTCAGATGGACGATGACACTCACAGCCAACACCCTCAAGTTATAGAATATTGTTATAAGAGTACAATAGCAAGTAAAGAATAAGCCATTGAAATATCTAAGAAATGGGGGACTTGACTTGTCCCATTATTTCCATGTAAATTTCATGAAATAGCCGAGGAAGATACACCTTTTTTATGGCACCACCATGGAGCAATCAATGTCACATTATTTATACCACCTTTTTGTGACCTGACTCTTCTGTGGTGGCATTCGGCGTCTCTAACACTTTTATATTTGCAAACAGGTGGTGACATTTTAAATGTTTATGCCTTGTATTTATTGCTCCCTTGTGATTTCTCAATTCCATCAATGCCTGACAGCCCATAGCAGAAAACGTTCAAACTTGATAAATAACTACATTGCTTCAGTTATGCTAACTTATTATAAACCCGCTTGATAATTGAGTTGCCATAACTGAAGTGAAGTAGTTCTTCATTAATTTTGAAATTCTCTGCTACTTTATAGCTTAAAACATTCAGGACATTATTGAGGTACTAATTATGGCTCATGGTTTGAAGTTGTCACACTTTGAGCAGTGAAGTGAAACCTGTAGATCTGAACATCTCTCTTATCTGATCAACCTCTCAATGTGAATGCTTTTTCAGTCCAATTTATTGTTATAGTCTCCAATTTTTTGGTGGACTGTATTCAGTTGTTGGCATTTAGCGGTTAGTGTCTGTAACAAATGGCAGGTTGTACAAATAACATATTTAGATATAAAATGAGAAATATTCATGAATTCTCTGCCATCTTATAAAAGGATATTAGAAAATTGAGCTAAAATAAACACAGTGTTGCTTTGAGTTATGACATCAATAGATTGATTTTTTAAATATGATGTATAGATGATCAATTCTCAATTGTTTTGTCTGACAAGGCAAGGTCATTTACTTAATAACCCAGACACCATCACATATTAGAATAAGATTCATGGACCATAGCTGTATTATTATAACATCATGTCGTTGTGAATTCATAGCGTGTAACAGTTAGTCATGTTTTGTTTATTGTTTATTATTATTATTATTATTAGCAATTGGCATTTGTACATACACAAGTATGTTGAATGTGTCTAATCAAAAACATTTAAAATACAATAAAGCCTGTCACGGCTTGGACATAAACTTTAATATTTTTAACCTCACAAAACCACATAAAGATAAAATGATATGCTTTATTTCTCTGCTGTCTTACATAATTTTTTATTCTAAATTGCCATAGCAAAGTTAAGTGATCTTAATAATGATATGCATTTGAATTATCTTGATATGATGCTTCTCTTTCATTGTGAACACTGAATCAATGTAGCTTTGTTTGATCAAACTCTAGTTGCCTAATTTAGCCATCGATCTACTGAAGTACATGCCCTTTTCAAAATATTCATCACTTTGTTTAATAAAAAAAATACATATAAGTACAATTATTGATTATGCTCTAGAAATACCTTGTCTAACAAATCACGTTATATCACAACTATTTAGATTGTGTCAGAATCTCTTGATTTTTATCAAAAAAGAATGGAAGATTCATAAGAGAAAAGTCAATGTCCTGCTCTTCCAATTTAAATCAACAGGCCAGAGGATATGCTGCAAAAATATTCTTTTGTTTGATTTGGTTCTGTATTCGTGAGAATTTCAAGTTTTATAGCCACAAGCTGAAGTTTGCTCAAGTTCTCACACATATTCTCAATCAATACTGGATAATGATGTGATGTGCTTCAACCTTACTTTAAATAAGTCTGACCTTGATATTGTTTACGCTAATTGAGCTTTAATTTTATCGGATTGTCATTCACCTTGTTGATATGTAAAATTGTTAGTTTTGCTCATATGTTTATTTGTTAAATCAAGATTAATCAGATATATGATTATAACTTTTTGCAATGCACAAATTAATAATTTTTCTATCATTCTTAAACTGTACAAACAGTAAGATTTGTGTGTGGGAACATCTGTTGAAAACAATTAATGTAAACACTTTTTCACTTCCATTTGTTAATATCATATTGACTCTCAAGTTTAGAAGTTATTAGAACCCATAGCATCTTAAAATATGAACACTCAGCTGGTCCCAGCAGTGTTTCCTTGAGGCAGATATGGATGTTATATTAAGAGAATATATGACTAGGAAGGGCTCACCAGTGAATATTGGTCAACAGTGTATTGAAGATAACAATAATAGATTCCCAAAATGGTAATGAATAAAAACTGACAAGAGATAAGGTCTAAATATTAAAGGTTTCCAAAAATAAAAGAGACATTCTATTGAACAATATCAGTTTAAAAAGTGACTGACAAATATAAATGCATGCCATTATTAGATATATCATACTATGTACTATGTTAATGATATTGTATTTTTGTTTTCAGTAAAACAAATTCATCTACGAATATAGATAATCTACTAACCAATTCCAAGTCTTCGAATTCACGAGGTTCAACACCTCCCACTCCAGGTATGTCTGTCCCAGTATTCTTTGGTTCATGTGGTTTGAAATATTTGTCCTGTGACCTCAATCTCCAGCACATGGAGCCTATACTATATAGTACATGATACAATAATTTCTGTACATAGATTGATGAATATAAAATGTGTGTGTCTGCTGTCATAGGTGTGGAGGAGCAGAATGGGCAGAATGGTTTGGACAGTAATGTAGGGGACGACAGTGACAGTTTAGGAAATTCTAAGAACAAAACAGACAAATCAGTTACCCCACCTGCTAAGGAAAAAAGGAAACCATTTTTCAAAAAGGTAAACGTTTATATTTTTTATCCTTACAAAGTTATTGTATTAGATAAGATGTGATGCTGTGTGCAATGAGGAGGAAGTTGTTGGCTTCAGATAGGTCTTGATTTCTTTGAGATTTTCAATAGTAACAATTGTTGTTGTTCTCTCATCCCTCACATATTCTCTGATAGAAGGTGCTTGATGTATTTCAATGTGGAGGTCATTGGTGATTCAAACTTTAGCAATTGGCTTTGACTGCATCTAAGAGAAATCTCTGAGTCCTATTTGTGCTTGTTAGACCAGTTTGCCAGCAGTCAGTCTAAAGAGACAGATTCATACTCTATTATATTCCTCCAATTATATTTTTCTAGTAATTATGTGACATCATTTATCACATTAGATAGAATTTTGAATGTTATGATGATGTATGAAACGACTTTGAAAATGTTTTATTCATAATTATTTTGCTTCATCGTTTCTATGGTGTAGAACAAGGCGTCATCTTTTTTTAGTGAAACTAACAAGCAAATAATGAAGCTGAGACTCGTGGGAGATGTACCTCCAGATAATTGATGTTGCCACATCTGCCTGTTTTAGGGCCTAATCAATATAGAGATTTCAGAGTAAGCTTCATTAAGAGCAAGATTAATCCAAGAGGGAATACCAGGACAAAACTTATAACAGATAATAAATAATAACATCGCTTACATCAAGTGTCAATTTGGCAACTTTCATATTATATGCAAGCTGCTATAGTTATGAATTCACTTGCTAGTACAAAAAGTTCACATTTGGTGTTCATCTGTATTTTTATGTGTTGCTCAATGGCAATTAGAAACAGTAATTAGTTGTTTTGTTGTATTTTGGTACAATAAATGAGGATTACTGTCTAACACTTATCTCATGACTGTTGGATATATCCAAACACAGATACTAGTGGACTCATACTAGTGGACTAGTTTCCTCATATTTTGGAAGTAATTTTTTGTAAAAATATTTTTAAAATACCCATGGAGTTTTTGCGAATTCCGCCCATAGTAATCAATATCACTGTTTGAAGTTTTAGTAGCATATTTGTAAGATATCCCATCTTTTGATTAGTGTGTCAGAAATTCAAAATGGCTGCCAAAATAGGGGCCTCATTATTTTTGTGATATTTGAAAAGTGTGCCTTCGTTATATTCAAATCAAATATATTTAAGGTGAGATTGCTGATTCTCATGTTTCATATTTGTGCCCGTAAAATTTCCATATGACTGTCTGAATACAGGAATTAAACTCAGTTTTGAGATTTGATCTGAAGTACAAAATTGTCTCCCAAAAATGAGTTCTATCTTGAAATATTAAAAAAGAGTAAATACATTTTGCAGGCTGGAACTTACTTTATGGTGGAGTCACCCTTTTTCTAGTTAATAAATTTAATAATATCCAAACTCATTTCCCATATCAATAAGTTTTCCTACCCTCATCAATCAACATATATTTTCATAAATCATCCCAGTAATTGCAGCTCTCATTATCAACAACTTGCCTAGCACTGTTTACTAGCAGTGAGTTTGGAAGATATTTACAATAGGCTGCAACTTGTAAATCATAAGATCGAAGGCTATAATTATACACCTATTCCAGAGCTCCCAAAAGAGCCAAGTCGCTAGATTTTGATCTGTTTATGTAGCATATTAAGTAGGATGAATCCCCTTGTGAAAATTCTCTTCCAATTTTGTGACGCAGTACAATCAGCTGGTATTGACCCTGGACTAGGCCTCATTAGTCTTCTACATTTAGCCAGACAGCCTTCACTCTGGTAGATCAGCTTTATTCTTTTTATGGGAACCTAGTTCTCCAAATGGTTCTTCCATGTTCAGTTTTAATTGTAATCATATCTGTGTATGTAATGGAGAATATTTCAAAAGGGTGCTGTCTTTATATTTCATCCTAATTCACTCAATCATACACACATAGATGAGATGAAAACTGATCTGATTTTTCTTTTGAACTAAATGTTTGAAAAAGATTATTCTTGAAATCTGAGAATTTCTGAGCCAAAGGTTGTATCAATATTTCGTACACTCCTCAAAAATTATGTCAGATGTTTGCTGGTCAAAATAGTTAAAATGATAGAGAGGGCTTCTTGAAGAATTCAAATATTCAAAACCTCTGATTTGTTGTCTTAGAAGGCACAGAGAAGCTTCAGTGATGTACCTATAGAGCGCCATCAAGCGAACAGAAAGAACTTCCGTCGAACTCTTAGCTTTCCGCTACGTATATCAGTACGTATTCCTCTCGGCACTTAAACATTTCATGGTTTGATTTGGATTTATTCTCTTTGGAAACTAATAAAAGAAAATATGCTGTTATCTTATTTTTGATATTTAGTGTGAAATATATATTGAGAAATATATTGAATCTTAATATTAAGCCATGATACTTCGTAGCTGATTCATATGCTCATGAGGTTCATATGATAAGAAGTTCATGAGTATGATAAGGTCTAATGTATTTCTGTTGAATAAACATGAAAAAATATATATCCACAGATTTTTTCTGTATATATCTTTAGATTCAAAACCTGTGAATTCATTATAAAGATTCTTCAGTTAGACTGGTGAACCATGAATGTTTTAGTGCTGATGCAATGTCCAGATGTTGTAAATGTCCGAGATTGCTGCCGATGACTCTTCCTCGCTTGAATTATAAACGTTGACATGCATACATATAAGTTTAGACTTGGTTATTGGTAATTGGTTCTATACAATGTGTAATTGTATATTGGATGATATTTTATGTTCCCCTTGTTATGTTTGTTTGTTTTGCGGGATATTATTTGACGAGTCTGTAACATGTTATGTCGTTACGATATTAGTAATTATGAGCCTAATCATTTTGTACACCTATAATATCAGGTCTAGTATTTAATAATTACTATCAACAATCCCAAATAAATTGATATTAACAGTGAATACCTTTTGTCTGAACTTCTTTCTTCCTTCCAAGCCTGCACAAACTACCAGGCAGAAGTACATGTAGTTCTCAACATACCAATACAGTCGGTAAATCTTTTGAATAATGCCATGATTTTGGAAACTCAAAATGTTTTAAGATTTCCAAATGGATTCACTTCATAATATATAGTTAGGATATAAAAGTAATTGTCAATAGAAATAATTATTTACTCAATATGAACCAGTTTAATGAAATTATTGTCAATTTTTGATATCTTTGATAAAATGAAATAATATTCAAAATTTGATAAAATGCCGACTGTAGTGGTATGTTAAAGATTTCCACTGCCATAGTGGTTGAAGCCCCCTGTCAGTATTCCATATCAATAAAGCCTAATACAATTATCCTACATCATTAATCATTACTAGAACTTGCTGCCTCTGCTTTTATGATCCTTCTGTTACCCAGAATCCTTTGGGTACCGTCTGCTATCCCATGGGGTGAATTCTAAATGCATAACTCCTGTCATGGAACAGGGAAAATACCATCATGAATAAATGCATATTTTTTTTATATCAGGCTCATTTGATGCTTCCCATAGACACAACAATCCAGAGAAGAATAACATGTTTTGGAAACTATATAAACTAGCAACCATTATTATCATGACTTAATTAAGCGACATCTATAAGTATTTCTGATAGGTATAAAACTGTACACATTGGAATAATTTACATTAGTTTATTTGCCAATATTTTACAGATGCCTTCTATAGCAATGCTATGCTTGCTTCTCCAAATCTATGATTTCATCATCTCTTTCGATTCTATGCTTCATGTTTCTCAAGCGTGAATATTGTTTAAAAAATACCTGAGTTAATCGAATAAAGTATGATTTGTAATTTTGTCACACATCTTTTTTAAAGAGATAATAACTGATTTGAGAAACAGTTTTAGTTGTCATCTCCAAAGTGTCATCTTATACATTGAAAATTGAAAAAATCCATATGTGAATCGTAGGAAATCCATACAATTTATTTCGTTTAAATTATTTATTCACTTAATATAGCAAATGCATGAAGAAATACAATAACATGTTTGTAAAAAAGCTTAAAAGACATAAAATGTTGTACAGTGATTTTTATTAGAAGTTAATGAAAAGTTAATAAATATTTTGTTTTTGATTACAGACGGAGAATATCCCTCCCTATGAAGTAGTGCCTTCTATGAGGCCTGTAGTTCTTATCGGGCCATCTCTCAAAGGATATGAAGTGACAGATATGATGCAAAAAGCACTTTTTGATTTTCTGAAGCATCGCTTTGAAGGAAAGTAAGTTCACTGAGATTTTATATTTATTGTTTTTGCAACATTATTATTGAAAACATTTTCTTGCTCCAAAGTTTGGTAGCCTACATGCATTGTATATGAATTAGTGAATCCTTTTAACTGAACATGAAAAAGAATATATGAAGTAAATGTAATTTTAGACATTCACCTTATTTTCTTCTCTGTTGTTTTTGTTTAGATACAGAATGTCAAATACATAATTGTAAAATGAAATACAAGTAGCCCTACATTATTGAATGCAACTGAATTCTTCAAAAAGGGGAATGCCCATTAATGTTTATTAATTCAAAAATATGATATTTTAGAATAACTATAACAAGGGTGACTGCGGATATTTCTCTTGCAAAACGTTCGCTACTAAACAACCCGAACAAGCGACCGATAATCGAACGTACCAATAGTAGATCTTCTACTATAGGTAAGTTTTAAAAAATATATTATTTCCACATTTCTAAGCCTATGTAAAATGTTCTCAATTTCAATTTTAAGAACAACAGTAATGTAGTTTGAATAAGTGGCAATGTTCTGTATATATACAGCATCCAACACAATGACTGGAGTGACACACATGGATGACAGTCCCTCCCCCACTCCTAGCCCCACAAAGGTGGTGCACAATCTTCGCTGGAAACCTAAGCCGAAACTTCCAAGTTCACCTCCACCCAACATGTGTAAGACAAGGGTGACAGTGTTTCATATGTTCTAACATTGCCTCAACATGTGTAAGACAAGGGTGACAGTGTTTCATATGTTCTAACATTGCCTCAACATGTGTAAGACAAGGGTGACAGTGTTTCATATGTTCTAACATTGCCTCAAAATACTGACTAGGACCTGCTCATGCCATGATTATGAACCTGTCATATTGTGCTTTGCTATAAATTAACTTTGACCACCACGGTTATCTTTTGACATTCATTTTCTATGATTATTTTGACATTCTAAGAGTTTTTATTATACTATATCGGTGGCGTTGTAATACTTTACATTGGCCTTGTAATACTGTAACATTGACCTTGTAATACTGTAACATTGACCTTGTAATACTTTGACATTGACCATATAATACTGTAACATTGATAGTTTAATACTATGACACTAACCATTTCATATGGTGACATTTACCATGTAAAACTGTGACATCAGACACTCCAAGTGAACACTAGTACAAATCTTGACTCTGATTATTTCAAAATCCATCAAAACCCCAACTATTGGGGGTGAAAGTGCCTATTTTACCATGATTCTCGATTACCAAAACGTGAATCGTGATAAGCTAAAAATTGATAGATAAAACGTGATAAAAAACGTGGCACTTGGAGTGTCTGTGACATTTATTTTGCTATACTGTGACATATAATACTGTAACATTGGCCTTGGAATACTATGACACAGATCATTTAATATGGTGACATTGACCATGTAATACTGAAATATTGGCCTCGTAGTACGGCATTGGCTTCTAACACCTTGACGTTGACAGTATAAATCTGTGATATTCATTTTGCTATACTGTGACATTCACCTTGTAATACTCTGACATTCACCTCTGTAGACTGTTATGTGATAACACACACACAGTGAATGTATACCTGCTATTATTACATGTTGGCATTGCAATAAGGGAGATGTAACCTTTGCTATATTATTATGGCTCACACAATCATCTGCTATATCTACATGTTATTAATAATAAGTCCTCCCATGACCTGTTCCGACGCATTGAGTAATAACAGATTACTTTAATATTATTGGATCGTATTTCTGTAATACAGAAACCATGTGTAGGTTGCTGAAGTGAAGTGAAATTATATTTTGAGAGGGAATAAAAAGATAGCTTTGCTTATGTGTATCACTGCTCTTGGAAGTGACGTTATATCTTCTCAAATACTGCTTTAACAAGATGTTTAACAAACAGTTCAAGTTGGCGGTTTTGGCATTTCATGTGTTTATTATGATTAACAGCTACATGTCATTGAATGTTCCCCCAACTCTTAAACATATATATACTCAGATTTAGATATCAGAATTGATTTGAAGATTAATTTAATTAGAGTACAGACTGTGCATATTTTTTTTAAATATTTACAAACTATTCAGCTTGTCCAAATATTTAAGGATAAAAAAGATATGAAAAAGTTGTTTAAATGATAGTTTAATGGCTCATTTGAATTATATTTATATATATTTTTGTATATTTCACTTTCCAAGAAAACAATGTTTATGAAATGCAGGATTGCCTCAATGTGAGATTTTTCTTGTTATTGTTTGTAAGATTGTGATATCAACCCATTCGAGACTACTGTAAAACATGCTATTTGCTGTGATCTCTTTTTAGACAGGTCTTCATTTTTAACATGTTACGAATAAGCGCCTTCACTTTTGAGTTGGAGCAACAAAAACAAGTGAATTTACCATGTTTATAGTGAATAAAAAGTAAGAAAATTGTAATTAATGAATTGTACATGTTTTACAGTATTCTCAGTCAAAATAGGTTCAACTATAACACAATGTAAAGCATTCCTTTTTGTCTTTTAGCTGAGGTACAGGGTGAGATAGAGCGTATATTTGAGCTAGCCAGGACATTACAACTTGTGGTCCTGGATTGTGACACTATAAACCACCCATCTCAACTGGCTAAAACCTCACTGGCACCAATCGTAGTCTACCTGAAAGTCTCTTCACCAAAGGTACATTTTAGACAATTGAAATTTTTCAATTCACCAATTATGAAAATTAACATTGAGTGGAAAGGCAAACAAAGTTCATAATACTTGTTCAAGTTGTACTCACCTGCCTCATGTGGAGTAGTTGCTACAAGTTTCATGACATTGGATGTTTTTATCATATAGATTTTTATTACAGTACAAAGGCTGTATGATTGAATTGATGAATTATTCTGAAGTGAATACTATATTTCCAGGTATTACAAAGACTTATTAAGTCTCGGGGAAAGTCTCAGAGTCGCAACATGAATGTTCAGTTGGTGGCAGCAGATAAGCTCTCTCAATGCAGTCCTGTAAGTCAAGTAAACACATTTTCATAACTTCATTATCAGGCCCTTGCCAGGAATGAAATGGGGCCCATCCAAGACATACTGTATATTCAAAAATGTAAATACCGAAATCTGAAAGCTACATCCCCTTAGTTATTTGACAAATGAAGTTTGTTTTTCTATACTAGTTCTATACTAGTTCCTCATGTTCCTTATGTCCAAGTTGCATTTTGAAATATTGTGTAGTGAAGGTTGGCAGTCACCAAATCATTTATTGACATATTGAAGCTGATTTATTGTCATTTACTTTAAAGTCTATCATTTTCACTTTCATTGCATGCAAGCTACATTATTCTCATTGTTGTTGTTTTTCAGGAGATGTTTGATGTGGTGCTAGATGAGAATCAGTTGGAGGATGCCTGTGAGCACCTGGCAGAGTTCCTAGAGGCTTACTGGCGGGCTACACATCCTGTGTACCCAGAAGCGCAACGAGATCAGTTTGGGCGTCTAACTAACAACACCAACACTACATCAACATCTAACCCTTCAACTACTCATGATACCCCTAATAAACATCTACCCAACCAAAACTCCCTCAGTAAAACTCTGAATGCACCCATTCCTGGGTCTCCCCTTTTACGGCATAATACTGCCCCCGCAAACAACCCACCTTCACGTTCTCTCAGTCAGGAACGCCTAGATAAGCGGGCTAGGGACAATTTGGAATCCCCCGAGGTTCATAATAGACATGGACATGATCGAATGCGGAATCGGAACCGAGATCAGGCTGATTATGACAGTGATAGATATGGGAGTGATTTGGAGCAACGTAGCAGCAGATATGAGGAAACAAAACCACGCAATTATAATGATCATAGGGAATTTGAGCCTGAGCATCATCGGACACGAGATATTAACCGTGGCAGGGATATGCGATCACATGATCACCCTAAGGATTACGAAAGTGAATTTGACCTGGAGTCAGAGCAATTTGAAATGCGAGAACGTGATCTTAGAATCAGAGATCGGGATCGCGATGGAAAACAGCGTAGAGATATGGATTATGACCGAAACTTTACTAGGTCACATAATTATGAGGATAGACGACGTGACTTTCATCATGACAGACATGGAAGTAGAGAAAGTATAGAGCATGAACGGCCAGTGCGCCGTCATGATGGCAGAGACCGACATTACGCGTCGCCAAGTCGAAGTAAGAACCATCCACCTCGACAAGGCAGTATCGCCATCTAGTGTGGAAGCTCAAACTTAGCTGCATGTAGTTTTACTCTCTATTACACGCTATTTTGTTGTGTTTGGAGATTTTGACACAGCCATAATAAAAATGGCTGCTAGTTGATGGTCGAGAATTCTGGATGGTTCACAAATGAGCCACCAAATTCGGGAGCTATGTTTTATTACCATATAACGTGTTGGAATATCCTAGCACTGGTAATTTCCACTTTCTACACACTTACCAACATAAAGTGTAGCAGGCACATTGTGAGACACTGGATTACAGGATACTACACTCCACACTATTCTACATTATTAAATGTATTGTAGAAATATTTCATCTTTTACTCATAGTAGTGCATGATCCAATGTACCGTATTGTAATCCTGTCTTTTTACTAATCAAGTACACTATTCCGCACACAGTAAGGATTAACATAATTATCGCACTCGTGTGTGCGTGTGTGTAATCTATTCTGTTATATTTCTATGATTAAAGGAAGAGTCATGTAAAAATCATATGATCTATATATCCCCAATCAGGATGATGCAGGTCTGTTATTCTTACTGGAGGACTATCATGAGATGACTTGCAATCAGGGAATGTTCTCCCTTTACAGAAGATGGATTAAAACTCTGCTGGATTACTCTACAGAAGTCTACTTGATTGGCCTAAGTGGAGCACTGTTATGTACATGTTAGTGCATATGTTTTGTTATCGATTTGTTTAGTTTTTTCTCATAACTGATTTAGACATAGATGCTTGTGTGTTGAGAGGGTACCAAAAGTTTCCCGAGTGATATATTTAAGAACACCTGTCACAAAATACGAGGAAACAAGATTCAATAACAATTCAGCACCATTTATTTCCAAGTTAAAAGTTGGAATAAGTCAGATTGCTGGTTCTAGTTAGACAAACCGAACATGTTTAAAAATTTGCTCAACCTTTCTAGCAAAACTGTAGAGTCAGATGTATGAATGTGGTAGAGTATTGAAGAATTGTAAAGATTGGAATTTTAATTTTGTAATTCTTTAAGGTCACTTTCTTCTGCCATATTGAAAGTCACACACATCTGTGTTATAAAGCCATGTAAAGATTGCATTTAAAAACTTCAGGTTATGATATGTACTCCCAAGTATTAGGTTGTATGATGTATTTTACAATGATTTATTATCACCTCAAACTGACTGTTTATGTATCAGAATAAAAGATAACTTGGAGAAATTAAGCCTGAAACTTTTAGATGGGATTGATATATTGTAAATCTTTTTGACCCCATTGACCCATAAGGATTGTTTTGATTATATTTCTTAGGTTTAAAAATCCCCTTTACTGTTTATATGAACTATGCATATATATAAAACATATAATATTTATAAATATTAGCATTGTATGACATCAGACCTCTATAGATATACACTTCCAGCTTGTTAAAAGTGAGGGTTTTCTTCAACATATTTCATGTTTTTTCAAACTTCAAATATATTAAGGTTGTCATAGTGTACATCAATATTTGCATTTGGTACATTTATTTATTCTTAGAATGTGATCTAAAAATTCCCATTGTGCTCCAGATATCCCCGTGATCTATCAACCCTCTTTGTCATCTCGAAATCCTGCTCATGATCCTGAAAAATCCCCCTCATGATCCTGAAATCCCACTCATGATCCTGAAAAATCCCCCTCATGATCCTGAAATCTCGCTCATGATCCTGAAAAATCCCCGTCATGATCCTGAAATCCCGTTTATGATCCTGAAATCCCACTCATGATCCTGAAAAATCCCCCATGATCCTGAAATCCCCATTGTGATCTAGAAATCCTCCTTATGTTATCATGTTTTTCCTTAAATTTGCCAATGCCTGTGTACACTATGGCTGTCTTAATATTGGAAGTTTGCAAGAGAAAGACATGAATTAATTCATGAAGTTTCTTGTTTTGTGTACCAATATATTTTGTGTTTTGTATTGATATGTAACATGTAAAAACTTGATATTTCTTGAATTTCACTAACTTCTGAATATAATGATATCCAAAAGTTTGAAACTATACATATTATACATATACATACTGTTTGTAAAATAGGGCTGTAAATATTTCTATAAACCCATAATTTTCTATTTTTGGTTGAAATTAAAATCTTGATTCATATATGATATTAATTCTTGCTAATTGCTCTTAAAACAGACATAACTAAATAGCACAATCAAATCACATGCACCCTTTGCATCCTTGTTATGTACTTATAGCTTATTACATATTATCTTTAGTCATTTTACTTCAATAATTAACTCATATTGCATGGTATTTTATTGCACAAAACAACATTCTTTATCACCTTATGCCGAGTCCTGAGATATTTCTTTACAAGAATTGCATGAAATCATTTTTAGGGTTGCTTAATACCTTCTTAAACTCTTGATTATGTCCACAAATGTTGATTATAAAATATAATATATATAATATAATATATCATATAGAATAACATTAAATGAAATTTGACATTACCTGAAATAATGAAATGGGTGTATTTTATTTCAATTATTCCTTTATTTTGATTTGATCTAGGCTATAGTTCATTCACATTTTAATTTACTTATCCAGTAGTTCTGAATCTCATTCATTTCTATTCTCTTATACTGTTTTACCTGTTCTTTCCATTGACCAATGTTATACTGAATTTGTATTGTTGTAATACTGCATTCCCTATTTTAGAAATCTACAAGGTTTACTTAAATTTGATTGGTTCACAGCAGAGAAATCTAAACTCCATGTTACTTGTAAAACTTGTGAACTCCTGTCAAAAGTGAACAGTTAAAAATGAAATCATTGTTCAGTTCCATTTTTGCATGTCCAGTTGATGCTTATCATTGCACAACCTTTTAATGAGCATTGCATTAAACTGAGACAGGTTTACTTTACAACTACAAATATATATCATATTTCTTGCAATATTTTGATGCTTGCGTTGGAGCTCGCAATATTTGTATATCTGTTGAAATTGCAACTATATTTAGTTTTATTTCACTTTGTTAAAATAAAAGCAACTTTAATACAATCATATATTTCTAATCATTCTCATGGTTGAAAACTGTAAAAATGATACCTTCTTGCCCAAAGCTATGAAGCATTATTTTGCTTGAATATAAATATGAAACTTGAGAGAGAAGCTTTATTCAAATAATTCTGAGGCAACATAGTTTAATGATTAAAATGTTATCTGATTGAATTGGATTTAATTATTAATCTGTGTGTCTCTATACAACTGCTGATTGAAAAGCTATGTATGATCTAGAATATATGTATAAATACAATCATTAGAAAACTATATATACTGAGAATATTCCCATACTATCTATTCATCTCTAAAATTATCAATTAACATAAACACCTACTAAAATACTCAACTGAATGGATATGAAATGCTTAATATTAATTTGAAATATAGTTAACCCAATCTGTATTTGGTCCCTGTATTATAGTCAACCCTATTTGGCTAGACTGTATCTATGCCACTAAAGTGTTTGCTAAATTGTATACCGTATTTGAATTCCAGTATATTTCATCCACAGTTACCTAAGTTATTAGTTTGTTTAATTTCAAGTGTGCATTGTAAATTCTATTTGGTTCTTACTCTCTGGTTAACCCTATTTTGGTATGTTATATGTCAAGTGAGCTGCTCTGTTTTATACCCACCTTGTAGTAAACTGGAATATTTAACCAATACATAAATTTAAGGTTTCCACAAAAGCAACTAGAACTGATTCTTTGTGTAGTAAACTATATTTCTTTATGATAATATCTAATTTACTATTATATTTGACTCCCTTATAGGGATAGATATTTAATATAAAGTACCTAAACATGTATAACTTCAAATTTAGTCTCAGCTTTAAATTTAGCTTCTGTGTCAAATACCATGGGTCTCAAGTCTATTATAATACTTACATGTAGAAAATGCCACAACAAACACAGTCTCAATTACAACAATCAAAACTAATACAACTTCAATTTTTGTATTTATACAGATAAAAGTTCTGCTGTACATAATACTTTTTTCTTTTGTCAAGTTTCCATTTTCCTCTCAATCTCCAATCTTTTCTCCAAGCAGTGTTGTTTTTGTGAGAATGGAGAGGGGGCAATACAAGGGGACCGGGCAGTACATGACTTTTAGGATACCAGATTAGAGGCTGGGGAAATAAATACTAGAGGGTATACCGGGGGTGATTAAGACTAAAAATATTTGGTTTGAATTTTTCAGGGATTTTTATTGTTATATTTTGAATTTCCCTTGAATAAGGGAATAAGGGCTCAACCCTAATTGCCTTACAGTCTTATGGTTAATGAATGCTAGCACTCTGCACTGTCATATACTATTATTGAGTACTCAATCAATTCCTAAAAACTTAATAACATATTGCCAAACATTGTAGTTTAGCCTCAATACTATTCAATTTTAACTTTTGAGTTAACTCAACTAACTCTCACCCAATTTTTTGCCCAAGTATACTTATTTTAATGGGCACATTGTTAAAGGATTCTGGGTAATGGAGTGCTTTGTCTACTTCTAACATAAGTGCAGTATAATATATATTGTAGGTTGTGTACTCCCTTACTTAGAGTCACAATTATACTAACTTTACTATGTTTGTCTTAAATAATAAAGAAGTAAATAACAAGAAGAAGACAAATGTGAATAATTATTCGTGTCTATACTGTATTTGTTTCATTGAGAATATTTATTGATTTAATATGTTATGTAAAAGAGTACTGTATAAGTGGTATTTAATCTGAGAGCTTAATTTGCCAAATTTTATCATTTCCCTAATTTTAATTTTTCGATAACATTATGAAGATGATACTTCCAACATTTAATTTTTCGAACCTGGTAGAAATTAGGCAATAGGCAAATTAAATGATTTAGCAAAATTACCACTTATACAGTATATTGAAAGAATCTCACTACGTGGAATCTTGAGTCTCAAAAACATTTATTAACATTATAAATTTTATTGGATTTCTGGATATTTGTTTTCCTTTTTTTCCTTATTTGGTTACATTATTTATTATCCCAATGGATGAAGTTCAATAGGGATATTGCCGTCTGTCCATCCAACCCTCAGAAGTCTAACTCAGATATTCATGAACCACTTTTCTTCATACTTGTATTTGTTTGAAAGATGTACAACCATGAGTAGTTGTATGCAAGATTTATTTCTGTCAAAATAACAACTACTTTAAAAATGATGTTTTTTTTAGAAAAATCTTATTTTTCCTTTCAAACGAATTAATTAGTATTACTGCATGAATTTTTAAAGCTTGGAGTATATCTTGACTTCATATAACTATATTCCAGGTGGCAATTAGGCACTGAGAAAATAGGAATTTCCATTGATTTTTAAGTACATGTATAGTACTATTAAATCCAAAGGGTGGGCCAAAAAAATTTGCAACCTTTTTAGAAGGCAAAAAAAGTATCATAACATTATGGTATTGACATGAAATTTTTTTTACAGAAACTTAAGGATAGGCATATTTTACCATTCAAATACTTAAGCTAATACGGACTTCAAATTTTTTTGTCAGATGTTTGAATATTAATGGTAAATTGTCCATTTGTCCGAGATTTACAATTTTTCCTAGAAAATCTGACTTTCTATGATTTTATGTGATCAACAATAACACATTCATTATGTTTACTAAATCTGCTTCAATCTTTGATAACTGTTTAACCAATGTTATATACAGGTTTACAGGTTTATATCAGTATCTAGTCACTATGGTAATATTGTTACACTGTATTAATTATTTATTAAACAAATGTTCTATGCATCCACCTTTCACCTTCACAATCACATGGAGACGAGAACTGAACTGGTCAATGGCGAGATCCAGCAGTTCTTGTGGTAGTCGTCTCCACTTATCCTGCAGAACTTCTAATAGTTGATCAATAATTTGTGGGGTATAACCATTAACTACAATACATTGCTCCAGGTGCCCCCATGTGTGATAGTCCCAGGGGTTGGCATCTGGTGTATTGGGTCCATCAGGATAGCGCTCCTGACCATAGGCCAAAAGTCACTATGGAATATTTGGAGCAAAATACCCCTTGATTCATTAGTCCTGATGAATAGGCACCACTTAACAAAGATTCCAGCAGATTTAGTGAACATAAAAAATGTTCTATCGATGATCACATAAAATTATAGAAAATCACATTTTCTAGGAAAATCGGTAAATCTCGGACACATGAACAATTGACCATTAATATTCAAACATCTGACAAAAAAATGTGTAGTCCGTATTAGCTTAAGTATTTGAATGGTAAAATATGCCTATCCTTAAGTTTCTGTAAAAAAAATTTCATGTCAATACCATAATGTTATGATACTTTTTTTGCCTTCTAAAAAGGTTGCAAAATTTTTTGGCCCACCCTGTATAAATTCAATATCAACACTAGCTGTTCTCTCAACACGTCCTGGCTTACCTTGTGGTGACAAACCCTGGATTTTCGCTATTTATAGTTTATCAACACCTGGACGCATGCGCATTTTATAGTTTATCGGGCACTTTAAAAAGAGAAATTCCTGTTAATTTTAGACCAATTCAAAGTATGGCTTCATATTCATATTCAAATGGCAGGTAGTGAGTAGTAGATGACAAATATGGAATCATCTTGTGAGTGATTTAGAACTAAATATACTGTAATGTTAAAGTAATGCTATTAATATTGTTCATTGGGATTTGCTACTCCATGGAGTTGCCATATTCTAGTTTGAAAACATGTACTGTTTTTATTAAAATTATATATTGAGAAGTGGATTTATTGCTGAGTAGTGAATAACTGAGAATTCTATAAAAAGCGTTATTATTATTCAATACTATGTTTCCGTAGCAATGTTATATTTGAATATTCTACACAAGTTATTGATATGATTTGGACTATACTGTACATGTCTGTGAAAAGCAGCTTTTGTTGAGTATAGTAAAATGGTATACCTGTATTCTTAATCTCAAAATATTGTACAATGGTACATATATACATGTTCACACCTTTCTGCACATGCCCATGCTCGCAATAGAAATGAACATTTTTATTAATTATTAATCATTTGGGAAGCACTTTTACAAACTAATGTCTCAAGTATTTGTAGAAGAGGTCTAAAGTAAAAATATACGTTGTACGTGTATAAATGTACAATTATATTAATATGTATCCTGTCACCTTACACCATTTAGTCACATGTATCTTCTGTAAAATGTTTTGGTCAAAGACTAGAGAGGGCCATGTAGTTGTAGAAATTCATAGCTACTCAACTTCATACAAAAGTTTGAGGAAAATGTGTGTGTTAAAAAGAGCGGAATTGCATTTTATGATTTGATGGTGACGAATCCAGTCATTCATGTCATATATTGCAATGATGACAAGAATAATTTTCACTATTTGTGTTCCATGACAGGAAATATTGTCAATTTTGAACTAATTTATAATGCATGTGAATGGTGTACAGTTATGTATTAATATAACACCCACTACCTGTTGCATATAAAAGTACATATTTACTATTCTTTGAATCTCATATTTTTGAGATATACAGAATATTGACTATTAAATATTTATGGGCAAGACAGCTTATGTCTTAGCCTTGAATGTGTTATTTTCACTATTATGTAACTTTTGTTGAACTTGTAAATAAAATAACATTTTTATCTTGAGAAAAATTAATTCAAAAAATTATTCTTTGTTTTATCTATAAATTTGACCCTTTCAGTCAATCTAATGCCACCTTGTGTACAGATGTTATATGGGCAGTTATACAAGTTAATGCGTGAATGTTTTTCTTACATACGCAAAGTCCACTTCAGACTCATCTAATCATTGACAGAGGAATGGATTTTGGATACAGAGAACAATGAAACAAATCCATAGACCTGACAAACAGACACGCTGTTGTGAGACTAAAACTGATTGACAGATGCTATCACTTGATAGCAGGCACAAACGCTATGAAGGTCTCAGTGCGCAGCTCTGATATTGGAGTTTTTGACATGCATTTTGAATAAGTCAATTCTCACATAATATGTAACTGATCTATTTCATATTTGTACAACTTGCTAATGATATTCTTAGGCTATTTTATGGAAGTTCTCATTTTTTGCTCAGACAACGCATGTCAAAAAGTGTGAAGTTTTTTGGGACACCCGATATGTGATTAATAAGTGCAGAGACACTGCAGAATAGTCATACAAAGATCATTCAAATTAACTGTATTTGACACTGTTATACCAAGAGGCAAATCTTAGGAGGGTGGGAGGAGAGGTGAAAATCAAAGTACAGTAAAACCTGTCTAATCCGAACACCCATGGGACCAGCCAAAAGCGTTCAAATTGGCAGGTGTTCAAATTTTGAGGATATTGTTGGTCGGGGGGGGGGGATTTTCATTGTTCAGTCCACTATATTGAACACTTAATACTTAGTCAGAAAACAATACATGTTGTTGATGAGTTTATTCTACAATAGGCCTATAGCCTACATGTATATGCTATGTTTTATTTACATTTTGAACAATTTCATTATTTTTGGAAAAATAACTCTTTAATTTTGGTAAAAACTTTGTAATACACTAAATAAGTATATGATAGTCTTGTACGAAATCTTATGCTTATTAAATGACTTATCTCATATTATGGTTACATAGCGCTGCTTTACTTTAGCTTGAAAAAGTCGTTCATTGTTGTTTGTTTCTTGGCACTTTTAGCATTAGCAATATTTGAGTAGTTACCCTCTTCAATTAAAAAGAATTTTTCATGAGTGCTCATTCGAGATGATGCACAATCTTTCTTTCTTTCAATGTTAGATGTGCCTTTTTTAGGAGGCATTTTAGTGATAGGATATTACGAAGTTGAATTTTTTCTCTTTCTCGTGATATAATCTTGTCTGCAAATGTGTCTGTGTTGTCTTTGTGATTATAAAACATTTACTGATTCAATCCTAGCTATCATAACAGACCCATGGGATATAAAACAGTTAAGACTTGTTCATAATCCAAATCAAAAACATCCAGTTGATTTAAAATAAGGATAAACCAATTATCTCCCAGATTCTCACCTTTCTCTTAATCCAAATCAAAAACATCCAGGTAATTTCTAATAATGATAAAACAATTATAATCTTGTCTGCAAATGTGTCTGTGTTGTCTCTGTGATTATAAAACATTTACTGATTGAATCCTAGTATCATAACAGACCCATGGGATATAAAACAGTTAATACTTGTTCATAATCCAAATCAAAAACATCCAGTTAATTTAAAATAAGGATAAACCAATTATCTTCTTGATTCACACCTTTCTCTTAATCCAAACATAAAACATTCAGTTCTTTTCTAATAGGATAAACCAATTAACTCCTGTATTCACACCTTTCCTGTTGTTTTCCACAATTAGGGATGTCATTGAGACTTAAATAAGTTGTTTAGGACAATATTGGTTCTTTGATTACATTGCATATGTAAAGATAATAAGAACTATAACATTGACTCAATATGTGGCTATTATTGAAATGTCCAGACATTTGATTTCTGATAAAATGTTCAGATTAGACAGGTCAGTTTTTCAAATCTGGTTGTTCAATGTTCAGACCAGAACAACGGCAACGCCAAAGCGTAGCGAATCCCATCGAACAGAAATGGCTGGCATTTTTACATACGAAATATATTGCAAATATCATAAAATAACACCTATAAGAAAGGCCACCATTTTCAAAATGGTTGATCACTAGCTAAGTTGTCATCAGAAGTAATATGCTTTTAAGTAGCCACATATAAAATTCTTAAAAGATTGCCATTGCTGGCCATTTTTTAAAATGGCCGCTTACTTCTCAAAATGTCATAAGACAGTATGCAATCCTTACGAGTATTCGCATATCAAATATGAACAAAATCGCTGTATTACTTTTTTTTT